GCCTGCACCAGGAAAACATGGAAATGTACTGCCCCTGTGGGGCAACGAAAAGACTATGAACCTCAACCCAATGATTCTTACCAATGTGCTGTCTTCGCCGTATTTCAAAGTTCAGCTTTATGAACTAAAGACCTACCATGAAGTCGTGGACGAAATCTATTTCAAGGTAACATTAGCGAAAGCTAACCCGCATGCTAGTTAGGTAACCACTGTTCAGCGAAGATAGCGTTACTGTGGCAGCAGTGTGCTGCAGTCGTCAAATATAAAGGGGTAACTGCATCAGACAGCGCTAGTTCAATCTCTTAACTTTACGACCCGATTATTTCAAGTAATTGTGCACGAATTATAACTTTAAATTAAGATAGCTTGCGATTGTTGGCAGCTAGTATAAACATAATCTTTAACCGTCAACGTTACGCCTGGTTTACTCAGAATTTGTTAGTTAATTTAGTATGTGTATTGTTTTCGTGTTTTAGATCAAAACTTAAAGAATTATTTGAACAGTTCAACATAATTCTTGTGGATAGTAGTTAAACTGCTATCAATATGAATGCGAACTTCCACGATGGTCTAAACATTTCTCATGAAGCCTCTAATATAAAAGTCATCAGTGAGGAGTTTTCTGATGTGTATGATAGCAACTTAAATTAAGTAGTGTGTGTTAAATATGGTTCTCTGTGTGCCTACAGGTGACTCATGTTGAGCCTTGGGAAAAGGGAAGCAGAAAAACCGCAGGCCAGACTGGAATGTGCGGAGGGGTAAGTGAGAAGTACGTGCTTTTTATATTCCCCGTATTCCCCATCTTTTACCCCCTGTATATTTTCCTTATCAGTCTGGGAGGTATCTCAAATCATTGTGTTGGAAATCACTTGATATGATTTACAGGTAGGGCAAATTTACACAATTCATTAATACTTGTTTTGTTGAGTACTGTTGTCATAGTCAGGCATGAGGAATAGGTTAGCTGTGGATTATGTACAGTGACATACTTTACAAATATGTCTTCATTTTTGTTAGGTGCGTGGAGTTGGAACTGGTGGTATTGTGTCTACTGCTTTTTGTCTTCTGTACAAACTGTTTACACTCAAGCTGACTCGCAAACAGCTGATGGGTCTGATCACTCACACAGACTCTCCATACATCAGAGCACTTGGCTTCATGTACATAAGGTATGATTTTTTTGTGAGCTTGCAAAATTTAATCACCATAACTCTACTATACGGATGTTACTTATGTTTTGCATGCTATTTTGCATTTAAATTTTGTTTTATTCTTAAAGCCAACACATCTGTGAATTACAAAAGTATCAGTTAAGTGAGTTAATATCTAATAATACAGATTGTAATTACTAATAAACTACCTTTTTTTTAATTGTTAAAGGCAGATTTAATTGCTGCACACAGATCATGAAACATGAAAAAAGTCATTGTCCATATTAACATCAACAGTGAAAATCAGTATCATTGGAACAGGTCCATAAAAACATAATTGAAATCTGTGCAACATCATAACATGTTTATGTGATGCAAATGCTCAAATTGTGCTCTCTGTTTTATTTTACCTCAGATACACTCAGCCCCCAACAGACTTGATCGAATGGTACGACGGCTTCCTGGATGATGAGGAGGTATGTCACCACGGGTAATAATTTGATGTTTCTTTGTCTCCATTAAATACAGTCACACGACACAAGTTAAAAGCTGTACGTTTCCCCCCCTTGTGATGCTCATAGCTGATTTTTCACCTTTGCCTTCATTTGGCTTAATTGTCCCCAGTTTTTGTCCTCTAAACTTGAGTAGCTAGGTTACTTGCTCACTGCTCTGCTGCTGATTTTTATCAGGGTAAGTACCACAATAATGCTGAGTCAATCTTTTAGTCTAATGTGATATCAAGGCATGCTCTCTGTTTTTGACAAGCTTTTTATCAGGACTTGTTGCACAAAACAAAATTTGGGATACATCACAATTGGAGAATTCATACAGACACACACAAACACAACACAAAATATATAACACTTGTCAAATTTTGCATACAGCTATTGTGTTTTGTCCATATTTAATTGAAATATAATTTGATCCCAGACTGTGCAACCAGGCCTCCTCTGATGTTCTGTTGCATTGTTTTTAATTGATCATATGAAATCCTACCCAACTGGTTAATTCCCCTGTTTTTTTCTTTAGATGCCCATTGTGCAGCAGGTGAATTGGATATTGTATCTCAGCACTGTTGGTTTGCGTGTGTGAGTGCAAAGCGGCTGTTCTCTACCATATAAAGTTGATAACTATTCAACTGGTGTGCACTTACCTACCTGTTCCAGTCTGTGCTTACACTGTGGGCATTTTTTATTCTCCCCAAGAGGTCATTGTGTTGTTAGGAGACTGATGAAGGAAGCCAAGGCTTCTCTATCTTTGTCCCTTCAGCTCAATGAGGATTTATCTCAATGTTCTCCCATCCCTTCATTTATGGTCTGTAAAGAGTAGATGCAACCACTTTTTGGAGATGCTTTTTTTTTTTTTTTTTGAACGGATCATCTGAAGGAAAGGGGAGAATCTTTCAATAGAAAAATATAGTAACTTCTGCTTGATAATCAAAGCTCACTTTGTAAATACAGATTCCAGGAACTGCCAGACAGCTTAGATGAGGCAAACTTTTTTGTGATATTTATATTATTGTTTCCTCTAGTAATTAGAAGTAAAGCCAGGCACATTTGATTGATATGAGAGATTAAGCTAGATGAACAGAGGTGAAGGTTCAGTACTTGGTCATCACAAATTGCTTTTTGATATGAGGCAAGATTGAAAAAGCAATCAGATTTATCTACTTCCTGCCTCTGTGTGCTAATTGAGTTTTTCTGTGGCTCTTTCCCAACGTTTGGTTCCAGGAGCTCGACGTGAAGGCAGGAGGTGGCTGTGTGATGACCATCGGAGAGATGCTGCGGTCCTTCCTGACCAAACTGGAGTGGTTCTCCACTCTATTCCCCCGTATCCCAGTGCCTGTGCAGAAGATTATTGACCAGCAGATAAAGGCAAGGCCTCGTAAGGTTGCACAGAAGGAGACGCAGGAGGAGGAAGCCACATTTGCAGAGTCAGGAAGGCAAGAAGCTGGGAGACGCCGCTCCAGGTAAAGGATTCAAATTATTTATTTAACTCAAGCCATGATTGTCTGGAGACTGTTGTCAAAAGTTATTATTGGACTTTAGCCCATACACATCCATGTGTTTGGCTTTAAGCCCATACGTGTGTGTGTAATATAATATAATTTATGTATATGTAATATATAATATATTATATAAACTGTAATTAATTAGACTAGAAAGTTTAATTGCTTGAAGCTTATGGTACCTGTGTTTCCAGGACACCCAGACGGACACCGAGCCCCCGAAGGTCGCCCAAACGGTCAAGGAGCAGGAGCCACCATCGTGAGAGGGACCGCCATGGCCCCAGCTTCGACCGAGAGCTAGAGAGGGAGCGGGACCGGCAAAGGAAGGAGAGGGAGGGCAGGGACCGAGATAGGGACAGAGGGGACCGAGGGGACAGGGAGAGACGGCGGTCCCGCAGTGCAGACAGGAACCAAGACAGACGAGAGCGTAAAAGAAGTCACAGTGGCAGCCGGGACCGAAGAAATGAACGCAGAGACAAAGAAAGAGACGGCGGGGATGATAGGAGCAGGAGGAAGGACAGGGATCACCATAAAGATAGAGGCACTGAGAGGGAGAGGTCCAGGGATAAGAAGAGCAGGGGAGAGACTGAAGACAGGAGGCATAAAGACGACAGGGAGAGGCACAGAGAAGAGAGGAAGGCCAAAAGGTCGAGCCGGAGTCGAAGCAGGGAAAGGAGGCACAAAAGTGGAGAGGAGAAGAGCAGGAAAAGAGAGCGCAGCCACAGCAGAGAGAGAGACAGGGAGAGAGACGGAGAACAGCGTTCTCACAAACGTAGTCGTAGCAAAGAGAGGAGTCATCATCAACGCGAGTCCAGTAATGACCATAGTAAACATAGTGAACGCAGAAGGAGTCAGAGCACTGAGTAAATGTTGCCTTGCAGCAATATTACTTCTTCTACTCCCTGTGTTTTTCTTCCTTTTTTCTACCCAGTTGTCTGGTCTGTCACTTGTGCTAAAAAATAGGAATGTTAGCACTTTGGACATCTGGAGTTGTTGTCTTTGGCCAATGTAATGTTGCTTTACGTTATATGTTTTTCTGCCTTTTTCACTCCCAGTTAGACCATTGTTAGTCTTCACTTGAAATTTGGAAAGTGGCAAAAATGGCATTTTAATTTTCTATGGTTCATTGTTTTGCCCCAGGACGATATGGGTTTGTATATAATGTTTTGGAAGCTGTCTACACATGATAAGTGGTCAGAGTTGCATTCACCGCTGGGTTGGGCGCAGTCCGTGCTGAAAGCCCAGCGCAACACTGTCGTCATATAATTTATAAAGAATAACTGTTATGTACAGGCTGTACAAAAGCCAATACACACCTTTTTTAAAAATTTGACTAATACTACAGTGCATATGTCTGGAATTTCTTTATACTGAAGCTTCTTTGTCCGCTGTATTCTGCTTAAACATGCTTTCAACAGTCCAAAGTGAGCGGTTAAAGTTAATATTTGAGCAAAGCGGCGATGTGGCCCAACGGTTGCTCAAGCCAGCGCAAAGTATTTCTGTCGATGATCGTGTGTAGACAGCCTGAGAATGTTTTAATCCTCCAAAGGGCAGTATGCAAAGGGTAATTTTTACCACACACACTTGTGCCCTGCTTGTGTTGTGATTGGGTTATTGCTCTGTTGCATTTTGTTTTCTATTAAAACACTTTTATGAACAACCTGTATTGTTTTTTTAAAGGAAAAGGGCATTCAAATGTCAGTAGAAACTGAAGCATATCACAGGTATTGAGTGGAAATACAGAGGCAGAATGCAAACTATTTTTGGTACTTTTATTAGAATGTAGTCTGAAAATAATTTCCACGTTAAATATACATTCAAAAGTGGCAAAAAGTAAATACTCTAGACACTTCCTGATATATTACCTTTTAAGATGACCAATATATAATTTACAAAAGTGAATAAAATATAAAAAGCAGGAGGAACAAAGCCCTACATATAAATGTATAACCTCAACCAACAGCAGTAAAACATGTATCTCTAAAAGGTTTTTACACAAGTACAAATTAGAAGAACGTCAAATATTTAGGGCCCAGGCTTCTATTTGGAAGACATCTACCTAATATGTCCCTCCTGGGTGTTAAATAGTCTTAATGTTTCATTTCATGACCAACATGCACTAAAACAACTGTGCAACTTATGGTAAACAGGCAGAATTGTAAATGTCAAAGCAACCTACACTATCCCCCATATCCTACCAGATCCAAGTTATTGTGAATTATGAGTAAATGTCAAACAAGCTGCCATTTTGACAGTAAAGTCATCACATTTAACTGGGAGATGCGTGTACAGACCTCTTTTTTGTCTACAGAAGTGCTTCCCTTTACTGGGGAAGCCCTGCTCGTATTTGCACACACACGGGCTCTGACTCTGGTCCACTAGCGGCCGCGTTGCTGGCCGACACAGAGAAACAGTAGGTAGAGTTCGGGCTCATATCAGTGAGAATTATATTCTCCCCATACACTGTTAGTTCCTGAGGTTTACTGGATCTGTCCTGCTTCTTGATCACCAGGCTGTAGTGGGAGGCAGCATCCACTTGAGACCACTCAACAAAAATAACTGTTGACATTGCTTGTGTGACATCTAGCATGGGAGCCGAGAGGCCTCCTGTTGGGGGAAAAACAAACCAGAGTTGTGAATTAGATCCCAGCTGACTCATGGGTTGTTTGTCCTGTAAATGAGGACTCAGTTGAGATAGCATGCAAAGTATAACCAAACCAAACAACTTTCTAGACAATGGCCATCAGCCCTCAAAAAATCAGTGCAACATGAAGGAAAAAAACCCAATTGTTTTCTTACAAATACTCACCATTCTGCATTTCACTGAGATCTCTCCTCCTGCGTCCTTGTGGTACCACTAAAGAGAAAAGGTTTACATGACTTAGTTTGTTCTAAAAATACAGTATAATGCATCTTTTAACACACACACATCAGTTTCCTACCATTTGTGACACTTTTAGCTTCACTTTCTCCAGCTGTGTTGCTGGCTGTGATCACCAGGTGACTGGAGGTGATGTTGGACAGAGAGCAGGACAGCCCCGTGACGCTGCATAACTGAGCCTTTGGTGTAACACTGTTGTCATACACGGTGTATGTGGTGGCAAACACTGACGCGTTCCATGAGATTGTGGCAAAGGAGCTGTTACCACTGTACAACACTCCTGGTGGGGGACAAGGAGCTGGGAGAAGAGAAATTATAGTTAGTTAAAGCAGCTGGAAACATGATTATAAAAGTCATGTGTTTCCCTATAACCTGAAATATTCTTTGTTAAATGAGCAACAACGGCAGAACAACATTCTGACTTGTTACAGCAGGAAAAGCACTGGTTAATAACATTAACATTAACTGCTTCTGTTCTGTTCAAGTGTCCCTGTAAGCCATGACAGCGAATCAGCCTGCACAGTACTGAGCAGTGCTGGAATGTAACAAAGTACTCACACTCTGTGCTAAAGTACACATCAGAGGTACTTGTACTTTGCTTGACTGTTTCCATTTTCTGCTACTTCATGTTTCTGAAAGTATTGTTACAGATAAAGATACCCAAGCTGATTTATAGCCATTCTGCAACAGCTTGGGACTAGGTGTTTAAAGGCAACATTTTACTGTAATGACATGTTAAAATGTTGTCCATAGAAATGTGCATTGAGACCTTCATTTATTGAAAAAAGGTTGTGTGTTATATATTTTCCTGTACAATTTCTACCTCTTCTAGTTTGGCCTTTACCTGTGCTGACTTTCAAACTCATTCATCACAAAATACTGTGTATAGAACTCATGACCTCACTTTCTTTACCCACAATCCCACTGTATCATCAGATTAGCAAGGTTGTGTCCGACATCACTCACTCATTCACTCCTCCCTACTCACTACCCAGGGAGTGCTATGTAGAGCACTATATAGTGAGCTCATTGGTAAAATGTAAACACTCTTTCGGACACTAATCAGGTCATCTTCTCCGCACCGTTTTTCTGTCTTCCAGTGGGAGCGCAATGCATGATGGTATATATTGCTTGGTTAGTGACCATTGGTTGTACACTACTTTTCATGATGCATTGTGGGATACTATGAGTCCACTATATAGGATGTAATAATTCTCACTATACATTCAGACAGCACTATAAAATTGCAAACTCACTATATAGTTGACTATATAGGAAGTAGTGAGTGATTTCAGACACAGGAGTTTTGACAGGAAAAGCACAGGTGTAGCTGATGATGCTGATGATGGTTTCAGCTAATTAGTCGATATTACTCACAGCTGCATGTAACAAGTGAAAGAGAGAGGTCTACTTTCAGGTATCTGTGGCTCTGTGGACATCCTCACTCAATTCTCTATCAAGAGATCCTATGTTTTGATATCTTTACCCATACTCCACTCCAATTGTTGAAGTGTAAAAGGTAAAACCGTGTTTGAACAGTACTAAGTTCTAAGTGTAATCTACCTGTTGTTCCACTGAGAGACACAGACGGGTCGCTGGTACCAGCACCGTTCCTGCTCTGCACTGTAGCGTTGTAGGATGAACTGCAGGGGAGAGGAATCTCGAAGTACGTCCTTTGTGTCCAAAAAGAGGAGAGCTCGAACAGGGCCTGGGTGTCCCCCAGCAGACTTCCTGTTAGCGCCAGAATGTACTCAGTGTCTCTGCAGGAGATCTGTGTCCAGTTGAAGCGCATCACCTGGATCTCCATCTGCATTGGCAGCAGCTGCACCTCAACAGCGTCTGGAGGACAGGGAGCTAAGGCAGAGAGAGAGAGGACGAATGTATTACTTCATTTTTAAACAAAAACATTACATGGTATTAAGCGTTTGAGAAGTAACACACAGCTCGTATACCTGCTCCCCTCTGCACTGGGTCACTGAAGGAGCTGTTGCATGTACCATCTGAGGCCTGGACGGAGAAATTGTAAACGGTTCCGCAATCAAGACCCTCGATTGTGCAGGTGGGATTTGTGCTGTGACAGTGCAGCATGTCTCCATTCCCAGACTGGGCACAGCCATAGTAGTCAACAGCATTATCTCTCGGTGTCCATGACAGCAGCGCAGACTGGTTGTTACAGTGGAATGAAACTGAGAGTCCAGCTGGCTGGCAAGGACCTGGATAGAAAAATATCAAATTCTTAGTGTGCTGAGACTGGTATGATTTACTCATAATGGGTCTCTTGAATCAAGTCAATACATTAATATTCTTTATGTCTTTTTGGCAAATACCTGTATTTAGTGTTGCATTTTGACTGGCCTTGCTGGAGCAGTTTTCATGGCTAGCAGTGACGACCACTGTATACTGCTGGTCGCAGTGGAGCTCTGACACGCTGCAGTTACTGGAGGTGGTGTTGCAAGTATGCACATGTCCATCTCCACCCATAGCGACAACTTGGTAGCTTTCAGCAACAGAAGAGGGAGTCCAGGACACCAGTGCACTGTGGTCCTCACAGGAGCTGCTTACCATCACGTTCATGGGTGGACAGGGCTCTGGTAAGAGGAAATAAATCTGTATTATTAAAGATTAATAGTTATAATACACAACAGAGTAGGGTGTGAAAGGGTTAAATTGTTATATGGCGGATGTAAACAATACAGATGTCTAATTAAATATTAATAAGTGACAGATGTTTTGTAATGTGTGACAACAAACAAATAAACAAAAACATGTACCCATGCTAACTCTGTAGGGTGGACTTCTCATGCTGCTGCACTGGTCTGATGAAGCAGCTACAATGATGGTGTAATAAAGGTCACATCGTGCTCCATACAGGTAGCAGGTAGTGCCCGTGTTATTGCAGGACAGGTACGTGTGGTCGCTAGCTTCTGCTGTGGCAGTGTATACTGTGTTTCCACTGCTGCCCTCCATCAGTTCCCACACGACGAGGATGGAAGAATTGTGGCACTGAGGGAAGGCGGTGATGCCAGACAGGGAGCAGGGGGCTGGGGGGAGATGCAGATTTCCTTAACTGTGACACTGTAGCATGAATTAACATTGGGAATGACAAAAAAAAAAAAATGGCACATTTTTCTCACTAGGACTGAAATCTGTTACCTGTCTGCAAGTCGATGGTGGAACTTGGCTGACTCTCACACTGGCTGTTTTTAGCAGTAACACTGAAGTTATAAAGTACACCACAGGCCAGGTCTTCCACCTCACATGTAGTGTTGCTGGAAGTGGTGCAGTTGGCTGTATAGTCCTCTCCACCTGCAGCTGACACAGTGTAGCAGTCCGCCCCTGGAGCAGCGTGCCATGATATCCAAGCGGAATTGGTCACACAGTCTAGGTTGCCTCTGATTCCCTGAGGCTGGCAGGGGGCTAAAGAGCAGATAGAAAAGTTAAATCGGGGACTGGTTGGACGGATTTATGTAAGGATGGACGACTTTGTAATGTTTTCATACCTGACATGATGCTGTGGGTCTGACTGTGCTGGCTGCGGCAGTCACCTCGGACAGATGTGACCTGAGCAGTGAATGTTTTCCCGCAGGTCACATTGCTGATGGAACATGCTGTGTTTGTGGTGTTGCATGACTCAATGATTCCTCCATTTTCTGCCATTACTGAAACCAGGAAGTGGTCAGCTTCTCTGACGGCATCCCAGGAAACTGTCAGGTCATTTGAGGAACAGCTGAACTGGGCGCTCACGTTCTGAGGTGGGCAGGGGGCTAGGAATAAGAAGGCAAACTCATTACTTAGCAACGATTTTTAAGTTGAAAATGTTTGGTATGCACAGCACCAAAGTATAAAACTGTAACTGTGTATTAGAGTGTGTCCGCTGGTACTGTATCTCTCACCTGAGTTTAATATCAGTGCCTCGCTTGGGATACTAGAGCAGCTGTCGTCCATAGCAACTACCTCAACGGTGTAGCGGCTGCCACATGTGAGGTTGTCAAGGCTACAGTTGAGGTCAAAAGTCTCGCAGCTCACGTTGCCATGACTACTGCGGGCTGTCACTGAGTACTGTAAAGCCCCACGACTGGCAGACCAGGACACAACAGCAGTGTTGTTGGCACAGTCCATCACCACTGAGACATTAGTGGGAGCACATGGCACTGTAGAGAAAGAAGAGTTAGTCAATACACACTGAGAGAAGAGTGTGTAACAACACAAAGTTGTTGTTGAATTCAGTTAAGCAATAAATAATGTATATATGTGTATATAAGTGATACAATTTTTAGATCATCCTCCAAAAAAGTAATGAATAGTTCACCAAAAAAGTCAGTATTTTTAACTGTTAAACACGATGTCACTTTATCACTTTACCTTTACCATAATCATTATTTTTCCATGACTATCAATCATATTTTGAGTGGATTTCCATTCAGTGTGCTCCAACAAATTTTAACAGACAAAACTAATTTGAATGATATTAATAAGAATGGAAAACAATAGCTCTTGATTACCAGGAGATGGAATAGAAACAAATGTGCTGTTTATGGACTGTTCACATTTTAGCCTATTTATGATAGCATTGCTTGTATGAAACTATGTTTCCAACAATCGAGCATATGTTTTCCCCTCCAGCCATTTAATGCTCACCTGACTGCAGACTGGTGGTTTCATTGGAGACTGTGTTACACTGTTGGTTGGAAGCTGTGACTGACACAGAGAAGTTGTACCCACAGGTAAGGCCTGGGAAGCTGCACTGATTAGAGTCGGACATGCACATTTCTGACATGCCAGTGTCAGTCTGCGTGGTGACGGTGTAGTAGTCTGACCCATTGCTGGCCTGCCATGTGACCATGACGATGCCAGAGAGGCAGTCCTGCATGGTAGAGACTCCTGAAGGTGAACACGGCCCTGGAGAAAAGACATGCAAGTTAATTTTAGATTTCTTTTAGTTAGATTCTATCTATCTATCTATCTATCTATCTATCTATCTATCTAACTATCTAACTATCTAACTAACAGTTTGCCTCTTAAAGTAAACAAATCTCACATGTGATACTTTGACATACATGTATAAAAGGTGTTTAACTTACATGTCTGTACAGAAACCGGTGCACTGGAGCTGCCGGGACAGTGCTGGCGGTACGGTGTGACTGTGAGGCTGCAGTTTTGTCCACAGGTGCAGTCAGAGACGTGAGCTGTGGTGACATTAGTGGTGAGCCCTGTAGTTGTGTTTCCTGCCTCAGCTGATACCAGGTACAACTCTGTCCCGTTACTTGCATCCCAGCTCAGAGAAACCACGTTCATATTGCAGTCTACTGAGGCAACCAAATTCTGGGGCACACAGGGATCTGGAAGAATGGGTATGTTGTTAAAAAGATATTCAACCATATCTAGTTCTTATTGGTGATTTCAATTATTCTGTACATTTATTATTTATTTGGTAACATTTTAATTAATTGGTTTGTAAATTATTAATATTTCCGAGGAACTTTCTTGGAAATAACTGTAATTTGGTCCAACTACAGGGAAAATAGGACTGTCCTTTATTCTCTTTATACATAGTTCTCTCCAGGGGACTTCAGAAAAATTATTAATAAATTACAAACAGAAAATGAATCATTGCGATTATTCATACAGAACCTTTCTGGACAAATGTTGCGTAACATACCCATATGGATGACTGAGCTGTTGCTGGGCAGGCTGGTGCAGTTGTCATCCTTTGCTCTCACTACAACCGTGTAGTCCTCCCCACAGTGCAGGTCATTCCAGGTGCAGGAGGTGGTATTGGTGAGACACTGGTGGGTGTGTCCATCAAGGCCAGTCGCTACGGCAACATATGATTCGGCGCCATCACTGGGCCCCCAGCTGACAGATCCCATGTTAAACTCACACTGCACATAGGTCTTCACATCCCAGGGGATACATGGGGCTGTGGAGAGAGGAGCGGTGTAAACACACACACACATACACACACAGTGACAAACAACATTTCATTTAATGTACGTGCATAACGAGGTATAAAATACAAATCGTACAGGTTTTGAAGAAGGCAGGGCTGCTGTGGTTGCTGTCACACTCGCTGCCTTGTCCTTGCACAGTAACATTGTAGTCCTGTCCACATGGCAGAGTGGCTGATAGAAGGGTCTGGTTTGTGTTGTAGATCCTCATATATCCAAGGCTCCCTGTGGCTGTAACCAAGTAATTCATAACACCGCTTGCTTGGTGCCAGGTGATCTGGACCTCCTCACTTTGACAGAGCGCTTGAGCAAACACAATCACAGGCTGGCAAGGCTCTGAGAGGAGCGAGAGGAAGAAAAAAAGGAGTAAAACACGATTACAAACAGAGGAAGGAGTACTCATTCTGTAAAGGTAGAAACACTACATGAGCTGAAACAATTAGTTCAGTGACTTAATCCATTATTGTTTTAGTATAAGTTTAGACCGCTTGATTAGCAGATTGCCAAAACATCAATCAGGACTAAAACTAGATTATCAATTTATTGTAAGTGAGTGATCTTTTTTAACAAATATTCCAAATGTTTGATGGTTCCAGCTTCTCAGATGTGAGGATTTGCTACTTTTTTCTTGTTTTACATTATAATACAGTGTTTGGATAGTATAGTATTTGGACTGTTGGTCAAATGAAAAGACAAGAGTTGTTTGAAGACAACACTTTTTTTGTGATTTATGGACCAAACAATTATCGTTCAGTCAAGAAAATAATTGACAAATTTATCAATAAGAGAAATAATAATTGTTACTTTCAGCCTTAATATAATATATGTCAAATACTTTGCTACAAGTAAAATTAACTGAAAAAATTACTTGTGTAATATTAAAATTCTAAGTTAAGTAGTAGTGTCTCAAAACTGTACTTGTGTAAGTGCACTTATACTACTTAGACCAAAAAGTACCTGTTTGGATGGACACAGTACTACTGGCCTGGCTGTAGCAGCCTTGGCTGTGAGCTGTGATAGTAAAGTTGTACGTCTCTCCACAGACCAGACTGTGGAACTGACAGGTAGAGCCTGTAGAGTTACACTTCTTCACCCCTCCTCCTGATGCCTTGATGGCAGTCGCTATGTACAGTTCAACAT